AGCGTATTTACCATCGAATTCATCCCTTCCAGTTCACTCGGTTGAAAAAGACCTTTGGGATTACCTTTTTTTCAGGTTGTTATTCCGCATGTCAATTGAATGAACGAAATTCTCCCTCTGAATTTGAACCCTGTGATAGTTTGAAGTGACATTGTCATGTTCCTCCTTTTCCCATTACCAGACATAAAATTTGTGAATGAAAAAACGGCCCACGACCTGTTACAAACAGGAAGTGAATTAAGCATGTAATCCGACCGCTTCGAACGTTTGTGTTTGTTACAGGAAGTAATTTCATGAAGAATTTTGAGTACATTTGCTCTGCTTGAGGGTATTTTTTACTCCACATACCTGACATTTATCATGTACAAGTTTTGAAATGAGTTTGTAAAAATTGATTAGGTTTTTTCGTTAATGATGTTTTTAAGTGGCGGAAGATTAGTGACCAGCGAGGTGTCTTCACCACCGGGACGACGGAACGATGGTTAAGGTTGAAAGGTTGACGGAGGCGAAGAATTTGCGACAGTTTTTAAGCAGTGATACTTTTCGATGACTTACTTGCATCTCACTGCGGCAGAGGGTCGCCGTTGGTGGTTGTTTGCTCGCCTCTGTTCATCAGTTAATCACGTCAGGCTTTACCAGCGACTCTGATATTTTTCTCAGAGCTCGTTCGTTTCGCATGTAAACGCGTCAGCCGAAGCTGGCTGGTCTTTGCTAGTGGAGATGTTTTGACGCATCCTCACGCTCGTTTTTCTCATCGTCGGTATTCGATGGCGAAGAGGGGGAGGGGAAACGTTAAACGGATGGGTTCAGTGGTGGAGAGAACTGCGAATTTCATTATGTGAATGATCATACCGTGGATTGTGGTACATTATTGTTCTTGTGGATATTTAATATTGATGACATATCTTCGTTTAATGAACCTCAACACTGCACAAAGCGATTCAGATGAGGCTTGATGGCATCAGCCGCTTTATTGCGGATGTTCGACCTATGAGATGTACCTTTGTATATGAGAGATGTAAAGTATATGTACATTTTGTCTGCCATGCCATTTGCCTGCAGCTGCATCGAACACGGCTTCAGCAAAAAAAGAAACAACGAAGGAAACGGTTTCTTTTTCACATCTTCCTCATCACTATCCATCATTATTTCTAAACGTGCCTGACGTGGCTGCTTCTTGTTACTCTTCGATGACTCTCAGTGGCATTTCTCTCTGTGATCGGTTGGCTGTGTGTATATGTGTCTGAGTCTGGCGCGCGTTATGCATGAAATCGATGCACCTCACCTCGTATTGCGGTTCTTATTGTTTTGTGCGTGTGTTTTGCCATCGTTGCCGCTGCCTCCGAACTCGAAAACAACACTCGCCATTGCTCGTCGACGGCACTGCACGTTTTGGAGGCGAAACGAGCGCGAGTTGGTGATGGTAGGCTGCCGACGACAAGAAATTGACACACACAGCAACGCGTACGTTTATTACGCTTCCTTGCTACGTTCCGCGATCCGATCTTTTGGCTTTATACCGTCGCATTTGTTTTTATACATATGTATATCTTTGTTATTTTTGTTGCTATTATGGTAATGCTGGCATCGTCGGTGTATGGTCGTCACCTTAATGACGATGGTCATTTTTGTTGTTTGTGTTTCAGACTGCGTACGATGACTCACAGCAATGACAGTGGTTGCAGCAGCAGCGGTACGAGCAGGTGACACACGGGTCATCAGAAGACATCGTCAAACAAAAGTCTGTTGTGGTTGCGGTTGAGGTCGCCTTCCCGGTAGACAATGGACGAAACTAACTTCAAGTTGAACGCGTTGTTCTTTCGCCGGGTCATCATGTTGCTAGGCATGATGTACCCGCGATGGACATCGATCACCGTACCGTTGACGATTTTCGTCCTGCTGGTCAGCATCCTGAGTAAGCATCTAATCGGCTTCGTGTTTCTTTGTGCGTTTTCCATTCGTCATCTTGTTCATTCGACGGCTTTCAGATGAGATGCTCACTTATTACGTCGGTGTATTGCCCAGTGAATATTTCGTCGTACTCACCGGACGCGATCGCATCGGCTTCAACGGTCTCGTTGTCAAGTCCGCGTTCATCCTCATCGGCAAAGCTTTCGTAAGTCTCTCATATTTACATCTTTGCTTACAGCGTATAACTACTCATCAAAGACCAAATTTCACGGCGTATCTTGCCGTCCCCTTGCTCCTAGTTATCGAGAATAATCATTTAAGCAGGCTACAGCTTCATGGTGTTTGAGCATAATATTTACAATGGTAGATGGAATGTGTGTGGAGGCAATCTGGTGAGTTATGCATTGTCGGATGTACACCACGTCTGATACTTTTTATCGGTAGAGAGATAACGTGATTCTTAATGGGACTGGCGATGAAATGGTGCTAGGAGGAAGTGTCGTTTCATCGGTAGAGAGATAACGTGATTCTTAATGGGACTGGCGATGAAATGGTGCTAGGAGGAAGTGTCGTTTCATCGGTTCCTGGCGGTGCCAGAAAATGACTGTTTGTAGGAGCGGTCTCATCTTACGTGGGTCACTGGGTACTGATGGATTAATCATAATAATCATTTTCTTCCATTAGTCTGTGTTCAATGGCTTTTTGGCCTTAAATGATCGTGAGGACAGCGTAGTGGCGCAAAACTTATTTTAATATAGTATTCAGTGTTTATCATTGATATACAGGAAGATGTTTTTTAGTTTTCAATACCAACAGCGTACACCATTGCATAACAGCTATAAAAAGCAAAAGATTACACTTCAACATCTTCGGGTAGTGAATCTTTGAGCGTAGCAGACTGTTAAGTCTCTGTGAAACGGGTGAATGTATCTTACGGTGTCTGCTCTGTGACATATGATAAACAGTCTGCACAGTGGTCTTAGTGGTCAGACCGTCTGTAATCCATCAGATCTAGCGATTTCCCAGACACATCGCTGCAGGAGCGCAAAATTACCGGCCGTTAAGGCTCTAGCATATATTGGAGAAGTGATAATTGGCGGTACACAGCGCCATGTAAATCTGCAGCGCAAATCAAAAGCGGCTGCAAGCAAGCGTAAGCAGCGAATGTGGAAGTTAGTTTTCCTCACCTTGTTGATAATGTAAACCATGTACTCATACCATATTAACTTCTCATTAGCTACGGCACCAAGGTAACTCACATTTTTAACCCGGGTGATCGGCGTCTATATTAGTTGGCTTTCTTTTCTAGCAAATTTGACGAAGTCGTAGTTTCGCAGGCTCCGAGGAGTAAAGACGCATTCGGTACATTGGCTCAGGATGAGAATGAATCTGTGTGAGTTGCACCTGTCTTACAGTTTGTTCTTGTCATTCCTATATTCTTCGAGGTCTTGGTGCTTTCCGAAAACTACAACTGCTTTCGTTACTGTCATTCTTATATTTCCAGTACAGTCGCGGTATATCAGTTTACTGATGTACACGATGAAGAGTAGAGGGGAGTGAGCTGAACCTGCGGAAAGCTGAGATTTCCTTTGATTGTGCAGCATCAGGTGATCTGCGCGCCTTCGTGCGTATTAATCTCCAAAAGAGTGCATTCCAAAGTCATTTGCCGTGTTATCAACCCTTTGAATGGAGGACTTATAAGCAGCTCAGATTAAAGACTTGAAAAAGATTGGTGCATTGTATAAACAAGTGAAAAAAGCAACGTTATTCTGCTATTTAAATGGTCAACATCTGGGTGAAATTCGGACTAAACAGTGTTCGACCTCGGATATTCTAATCGTCATTCCTTCTGTCAGAAACGGA